ATCATTTCTACATCAGCTGTAATCTCATGTTCTGCAGCTCCTGGTGGGGGATAGAAAACCGTGATCATGTTGCATTTTTCAAACTCCCTCCAGTGTCAAATATTGTCTGCGCTTTTCAGTCAGTGTACAATCCGGCACATTTCTCCACTTCGCTTCCTGTGAGTCCCAAAATGGTCGCATCCAAAAATAGCCCATGATTATCTGCGTCATTATTTCAATCACCGATTTGAGAATAAGTCCCAAGGTGCAATGACCTTGTTTACATCCATGATTTGAAGACCCCCAACAGATGATATAAAGGAGGAGGGTTAGAAGGCTGGTCCAATGTGCGCTTGAAGAGCAAGGAGATTTTGAAAAGTCGAATCGGTGTTGGTCTGATTGCGTGCTACTGAAACACTAAGTAAGAATCTTTGAGCTTCGGTTCATATCAAATAAAAGTACAAGTTGGCGTCACTTTTTCGAAACTCATAGTAGGGAACTCGCAGTGTAGTTGTTTTATCGTCATTGGGTTTTGTCGTGTTGCCCGGCACCCAAACACATCACTCATTGATGGCAGCCATGCATCCTACGACGAACACACGAAGCGCCTGGAAAGCGGCTTCCTTCTTTACAAAGTTCTCTTCGAATAATGTATCACATGTATCACATTTGTGGTTTCCACCACCATACAGGTCTCTCCCATTCCACCAGGCTCAGTAGCCTAAGTCACACACTACTAGGCTCACTGGCCTAGGACACAATCACACTCAATCTTAGCCTTCAATATACTCATCTACGGCTAACATTGATGGTTCTCTCAACCGCCTAACCCCCAAACCGCCTAACGGATTCACCGACCAACCGCCGTACCGTGACGAACGCTGGCGCTCACTAGTTTAAACCTAACTTAGGCCGAACCGTAATCAGACTGCAGTTCGGCTGAGGTCAATCACCAAAAGCTAACAAACTTGATGTCTTGGCACACATGTGATGCAATGAGAAACGTTGGCCGGAATCGAAGCCCAAATGGCATTCCGACCCACGCAACTTTGCACTTTGAGATCCATAAGCGGTCACGTCGTACCAGGCATCAGCGAGAAGTCGCTATACGTACCTTTTCTCATTGTGATACACGCTCATTTGTTGAAACTCGTGGTGAGGGATCGTAGTGTAGAACTGGATATTCGTTTCGGGTCTTATTGTGAATTGCCCGACACCCATCCTCATCACTCATTGATGGCAGCCATGCATGT